TCTGTCTGTCTGTCTGTCTGTCTATCTATCTATCTATCTATCTATCTATCTATCTATCTATCTAGCACCTTGATTTGGTATATGATGAATGCTTAGGTGAAAATGTGGCGTAAGATTCGTCTGTTCATCTCACCTGAGTCTTTGATGAGTTTGAGCGCCTCATTCTCAGAGAAAGAGGACATCATGCTAGGAGGTCTCTGGCTGGCTGTCTTGAAACCACTGAAGGGCACACTCTGACAGTACACCACCAGATCTGACAACTCTGGACTCAGTTTAGTGCTCACAGCCTGGGGAGGGAATGTATATGTGTCAAAGTATATCTTCGCACACAAGAAGATTTTTTCAGTGAACATATAGGCATTGCATGTATTATAAACACACACACATACCATATAGTATATACTGTAATGTAGCTAATGCATTTACCTGAGCTATAATCATACTCATACGCAGACAATCAAACCACACAATCTTCCAATAATTTACAAATCAATTCCTTGGCCCAAAAAGAAATTCATATCTGAACTCACCCTCCCAGGATCTTTTTTAGATTCCTTTTTGTCCCCGCCCCCTCCAGCAGTAGACTCTTCATCTGAGCTACAAGAGAAGCTAGTCCAGCTTTCAGTCTTCCCCAGCAGACCACCTAACTTCTTCCCCTTTAGCAGGATCCGCCCCATCAACTCCTACAGTGAACCAGGAACATGAGAGTAATAGAAATGTTCACCAATACCAGGAACACTTTCTTCTGATTTGGAAAATGGTAGCTTTAAAACATTGTGACAATAAACAATGATTTATTTCAGAGGCTGGAACAGCCCTTAAATAAGATGGAAAAATTGTGTCATGACAGAAACTGTCGAGAGTGAAAGACAGAAAGGAAAGTCATCATAAATATGTATAGTAAATGGAGTCAAGTGTGCTTATAAATGTGTACACTACAGTACATGAGTGTTGACTTAAATTCATTCCTAGTACTACATGATTACACATTTCCTTTTTTTTTTTTAGACAGCAAGTGTCAGATGTTTTTACTGATAATCCTCAGAAAGTAAACAGGAAGTTTCCTGAAGCGAGAAAGGAAGGGTTAGCAACACCAAGATCTTAGGTTTGATTTCCAGAGAATGTATGGAAGTAACTTTGGAAAAAGTGTCTGCCGAATTACACACATTACCATTCAAAAGTTTGGGGTCAGTAATATTACTAAAATAATATTTTTCTTCAGAAAATATGCGTTAAAAATTTATCAAAAGTGACAGACTTTTACATCGTTGCAAAAAAAATCTATTTCAAATAAATGCTTTTCTTTTGAACTTTCTATTCATCAAAGAATCTTGAAAAAAAAAAAAAATCATGGTTACCACAAAAATATTAAGCAACCCAACCATTTTCAACATTCAATTTATATCTTAAGGACCAAATCAGCATAATAGAACAAATTATTAAAAATTCAGCTTTGCCACCACAGGAATAAATTACATAATATATTTTAAAATGTAATTTATTCCTGTGGTGGCAACGCAAATGTTTTCACATTATTACTGTTTTTACTGTATTTTTCATCAAATAAATGCAGACTTAGTGAGCACAAGATAACGACCCAGTGTACATTTTGAGTGTAATTACGTAAGTGACAGCACTCTATAGCTATGTAAAACATGAAGTGAGACGGTTACAGTAATTATTGTATTATTACTGTATTATGATTAACGCTGAGAAATTCAGCATGCTTACTGGACAGTACAGAACATAATACATAACACATACTGCTTATATAAAAAAGTAGCATGTGAAAGTACACAAATGCTTAAACTACTAAATGCTTGAAACAGTAGTTTGCTGCACTGAGATCACTTACATGGAATGTTTAATTTAGCGTACTGAAAATAAACTTTTTTTTGTTTGTTTGTTTTTTTGTTTTTTTTTAATCCAGTTATGCCTAAAAATCTCTTACAGTTTTTCTCAGTCGCTTTGGTGCATTTCTCAGATCAGAAATACAATTCTCAAAACTACTTGTTCAACCTCCACATCATCTAGTCACTTGTGCACATCAAAAAAAACAATTTCTCATTCTTTTGAACAAGTTGCGATTGCTTTGGTACATTCATGCAATTGATTATGTACATTTGTCTGCGGTTTCCTAAATTATCAGTTGCTAATGTCATGTTGCTCAAAATGTATTATATAGTTCTCTTTGCAATAGTCTTACCCCCCAAAACATCCGGTCATTAGTTAATCGTATAAGTCATTAAATGAAAATGGTTGATCTAGTTGTCATAAACTGTCAAGCATATTTTCTACACATTTCTATTAGACTTTTTGTAAACTTGCCATGAATTGTGCAGGTGAATCTTGACTTTCACTAATGAAGAGAATGTAGATCAGTGGTCACCAACCTTTTTAGGCCCAAGATCCCTGACCTCGGCCTTTATGAAAGACATCTACCTATTGAAGAATTGATAGAAAAAGACATCCCAGATTGTACTTCAAATTTGAGGCCTTTTAACTTAGTATTTTAATTAGTGATGCTCCGATCATAGCTGATTCAGAATTCAGATTTTCTTTTCTTTCTTTCTTT